ACTGGAATGCAGTTTGAAAATTATCTGAACGAGGAAGTGATACAACTGACAGGAATCTTGAATGCAAATAATTAACGGGGCTAATTTGCATTGACCAGAAGACGTCATGGAATTTGTTCTGGTGACATCAAGAGAATTGAAAACTGCGGTTACAAAAATTATTTGATATTATTTTACTCGTCCATTTAAGATTTTATTTATTTGATTACCCCATTTGTATGTTTAATTTTATTTAAGTATTGACATATAATGGGAGTTAATTTTTCAACACTCAATTTTATTTTTTAATAAGTTCCTTAAGCTTCATATTAACTTTTGAATATCACATCTTAAATACTAATCATACACGTAAGACGTAAAACGAAACAACGAACAACGATCGTACCTAGGTCAGTAGGTCATCCCCGTTAAACGGTTCATGAACAAACTGCTTAACATGTCTAGCGTGTGCTAGGCTTTATGGGACTCATCAGACTACATACATCGAATCATATATGGGCTCTTGCATATATAACAGCATTTTTGGAAGTTGCAAGCACATGGAGAGAGTTAAAAAGCGATTTAGTATCTTCTGAATCGATATCTGATCAAAACATTGCGCTCGTCTAGATACGTCAGAGAATATGGTCAAAGTTATAAACGATAGTCATTCTTTAACAGTAATTATTTAAAAAAAGTATTTAAGTTAAAAATATAAAATAATATGGACCCGAAACTATGGATGTCAATATGCTTTTAACCAACGGTTAACCAACATTGCGGCGAATTGCAACTGCAAAGGTTGTTGGACCGTAAACTCATATGCAAATCTACAACTTAGAAGAACGATAACCAAGTTACTTCGTTCTTGACCAGGAAGAGCATAGTTCGTCTCTAACCTGCCTAAACATCAGCATCGTCTCCTTCTTCCACTTCCACATTTTTAACAAAACCAACCCCGTGCAATAAATCAATGTTCTGTTTAAAAATTGTTTGTCAATTTGATTTATCTCTTCAAAATCAATTAATTTGTCTCTCTCTCTTCCTACGTCTATTTAATCAATCAATCTTCGTTTAGCGTCCAGAAACCCAGCTCCCCGAGGTAGGACGTTGTTTTCTTTGCCATCAATTTTTTGCGCCAAATTAGACAATTGAATCCATTTCATTTAAATTTAGAGCTTTCATGTCTTGCTCGATGGATTGGGACTAGGACTTCTTTGGACAGCCTTTGGGACGTGTGCCAGGTACTTCAACATCTGCAAGAGAAGTTATGGCACTGTTTCCAATTCGTTTGACATGACCAAACAACCGCAGACGGTGTTGCCGGCATTCGTCCTTTATATCATCTAAACCAGCACCACGCAGGATTTCGGTAGATTTGATGTGGTCCTTCAGACTAATTCGTTGCATCCATCGGAGCATTTTCATATCGGTTCGTTGAAGTTGTTGTTCCAGTTTGGTTGTCATTGGCCATGTTTCTGCACCATATAACAACACCGGACGTATCACAGATTTATAAAGTCTTGATCGTAGTGGTAGTGGGATGTCACGCCACATCAATATAGAGGCAAGGAGATGCCATTTATTCCAGGCTGCACGTATGCGTGCTCGAACGGCAGCTTCAGCTGTTCCAGTACAATCCAGAACATCCCCTAGATATTGAAACGATGTGACTTTCTCTATCTTAATGGCTTCAAAAACTTTGCTATTTCGTATTTGTTGTTGTGGATTGATGCAAGCAGAATAAACAAAATTGGACACTTTAGATAAAGCACCAATTATTTTTGAACAACGTTTGTGACACCACTGGTTACACTGCTGACACTTGATTGAATTGCTACTTACACCAGCTTTACAAACTGAACAGGGCCATCGTCTAGTAGCTGTGGATTGGATGAGTTCACTAGTGTTCATTGCTTTGGTTTTGCTGATGTTGACTTTGAATCCATGATCGGCGAGTCTGGTGTTCCAATCTTCAAACATCTGTGCTGCATTCTGCTCAGACGTGGCTGTTAAAACGATATCATCAGCATATATTAGATTCCAAATGTCACCAGTGCGTATCGGCTTTGTGATTTCTTCCATCACAGTTATAAATAACAGTGGACTGAGAATCGAGCCTTGGTGAACTCCAACGCCGATGTCAAATGCATCTCTGTTTCCAACCGTTGTGCTGACGAGAGTCTTAGTATTCGTATACATTTCCATCACAAGTCGAACAAGATATTCTGGAATGAGTTGTCGACGTAGACTCCACCTGATTGCTTCACGGGGAACTCGATCAAATGCTTTTTCAAGGTCTACAAAAATGTGTGATAGTTGTTGATGCTTTGCGAGGTACTTCTCTTGCAGTTGCCGAAGGATGTAAATTGCATCAATTGTTGATTTTCCCGTTAGGAAACCAAATTGATCATTTCCGATTGTGCAGTACCAGATGCTTTAATAATGTCATTTGTGAGTCCAGAGGGCCTTGCTGCCTTTCCATCCTTCATAGCTTTCAGAGAAACCGATATCCCTGATTGATTTATAAACACAGCCATTAATACAATTTTTTAGTTGTAACTGCTAAAATATAATTTTTTCTTTCAGAATTCGTTCGAATAAACCAAAAAATGATCAGTAGTTTACTTTTTTTGAGCTATCACATGTTGAGACAATGTTTTTTGATTGTAGTCTAAAAAACGAAGATACTAAGTGCACCCTACGTTGGGTCAGAAAAATTGCGCTATGCCACATGTACGAATAAAGATATACGCCTCAGACTAATTCGCCATGTGAAGAGAATCAATGCAGCGTCTCCATCGACCATAATATGTTTCGGTGAATAACCCCAAAAAATCCTTAGCTTGCAATGCTGTCTACTGAGATTGTAAATGAACAAAATTGGTGTTTCAACTCGGGCTTCTGATGAGTCTCATGAGGAAAGAAAGGCGTCTAGCCAGAATAATAATAAAAATTCACACGCACGCAGGCACATACACACACAAACAGACGCACACAAACAAGCACACACACACACACACAAATATATATATATTTCAAAAATTCAACGTTTTTAAATATTGTCAAAATAATATTAATAATATGTAGTTAATTAAATAAATTAATTCGCGCTTCTCGGCTGAGCGTTGATATTTACCTTAACAACCATAATATAAACAATCTTGCCGTTAAAATTTTAAAAATCGCGTTTTAATTGTTTATAGTTATTAAATTTATTTTATTGGTTTTCTGTTTTAATTAAATAATTTATATAAATTAATAATTACTTGTTCCTTTATATCAAATATTATATACATACCTTATATATAATGCACTGAAGATGAGTTATTTATAACTCGAAATAGCTATTTGCAAATTTATTTAATAAAAATTTAAAAAAAAACAATAAAATGTCTAATTTCTCTGAAATTAATAAATTAAAAAGAAATATAAAAAAGTTGAACAATGTTGAAAGTAGTGTTGAATTTTTGAAATGTTGCGTTAACAAAGGTCTGTTACCAATATATATATATATATATATATATATATATATATATATATATATATATATATATATATATATATATATATATATATATATATATATATATAAAAAAATATATATATAAATATATATT